TGCATGTGTGAAGAATGGCGAGGTTGTTTTGGTTTTAGGAGGACAGTGTTCCTTCATCATACCCGGGACATTGATCCAATTTTTGCAATTCAATTGTCACGGAAAGTGCTAAAGACAGAAGAATTGAGGACAGAGGCATGTTCAGGAAGGCTAAGGCCTACTTAGTAATGGGTATCCAAGTTTTATGAAATTCTTAATGCACCAGATCTGGCTTCATGCCATATTCACTTATAAAATACAATATTCTGATCTTGCCCATTTCTGTGTTTTTACACTGTGTTCAACCCTAGGCTTAGTCCCACAAATTTTCTTTCTTGCATTGTGCCCTTAAGGCAAACCCCAATTTCGTGCTAACTCACTGGATGCCACAAGAATTTCATTTCTCTAACAAAAAAAATTGGCCCAAATCGAAAAAATAAGGCCCTTTTTAGGTATATCACAAGGGTTCTACTGAGAAGCACATGTGTCCATGCTCAGAATAATTTGGAAAATTATATTTCTGAATTTTCATGTAAGTGGCTGATATTATTTGGATGTCCTCTACAGTGAAGAGCATTTCCATGACTAGGATAGTCTCTTGAAAAAAGAATTATAAATTATTTTTATCATGTCATGGAATTGTTTACCTTCATTGAGAGATTGATACGAAAGTTCAAGAAACAACTCTGCTCTTTCACTTTTCGAAAAAATGTGCAAAAATATACTATAAATGTGATTAAATAAGTTTAAATACCCATACTATATAAACAAGGTTCTTTGAGCCTCAAATTATTATTACTATCGCGAACATTTGGATGATTATTGCTTTCTTTCTTAGAAAGTAAACTCAATGGCCGAACAATTCCACAAGCAATTTTCTTTAACCTAAAGTGCAGAAGCCCTCAACTAAACCTCCCTCTGGTACACTACCCCCAATTCAGTGCCACGAAACGTGCGAGGAAAAATTTTGACACTAAATCGGGGTTTGACTTCATCGTTCGTCAAAGTTGCCCCAAAATTTCGGTTAGTGATGTGAATTTACCCAAGTCGACTGCCATCGAAGAAAATTCTTATGGAATGAGTTTTGGGGCTCACGTCGAGTTGTGTCGTGATCCGATTGTGGTTCGGAGGATTCTAACTCAGAACCCTGTGTATTTAAATAACTTACGTTCTGGACAATTACAAAACTTTTGAAGCGTCCCCCGTGCAGCCTGTGCCTCATGATGGTGAACTGATGCTTCGTGGAAGGATGTCAAAGGTAGTATTTCGGCTTAATTCAAGTTTTCGCCCGGTTGGATTTGATTGCTGCTATTCCAGGAAGAGATGAAAAGCTTTCGGAGAAATTCTTTATAGAGAAAAACATTTTTGAAATAAGAGTGAACTGTAATTGGCAAGCTCGTGAGGGACGGATGTTTTATTGCGCGTTTCATAGAAAAATCGTCCTGTATTTTTACGTCCTTGGCGAAGTTCTTGTTCATGGTGTCCAGAAGAGGTACTGAACTGTACCGAGTCGTAGAAAAAGTTCAAGTTGAAATGGAGAGTCTCGTGCAAGAAATTCTGAATTCAGCATTTCGCCCGAACTTTTCTCCAAAATTAACTCGAGTTGCAACGTTGTGTGCAGAAGAGTCTTCAGTCCCAAGGGTATATTTCCAGCATCTTCTGTCGGTACTGTATAGGAAAACTGCTTTTTTAAAATCTACCTTTCTTTTTTTTTCATCGAAACTAATGAAACTTATCCCACAGAACAGCCGTTTTTTCATTGCCATTTTTGGCTCATTATTAAATGAACCAGTTGATGCGTTTTGACATTTGTAGAGATCTTTTCGCGTGCTTAACTCTTCATTGTCTAAAGTACGAGGCAGTCTATACCTGGGATTTTCCGCCTTTTTCACTTGCGAAATCCATTTCCTGAAGAATTGGCGTGACTCGGCTTCTGAGCCATTTTTCTCCACCTCGTGTTACAGACCATGCGATTTTCCGATGGGCAATAACTACTGATCTAGCTCATTAATTATCCTCTTTCGTGTACGAATGGTAATTGATTATACTTTCCTTCTGATTTCTGCATTTTGGGACACAGTTTCCAACACTTCAGTATTTAAGAGAATACAAGAAGTTCTTCGAATTCTGGAAGTAATGTCCGAATGCATGAGTCGAGGCAAAGCCCTGAATTCCAAGCGTCGTGGCAGAAGCGAAATGCGATGCAATGTCAATTATTATTATTTTTTTCTTGGGCAGAATCGTGTTCTACTGCGTTTGTAGTGAGCTGAATTCGAAATTTAAGGTCTAGTACGGTTAAATTAGTAAATGTTCCGCGTTTTCGGCAGTGCTTCGGTGAATTGCGATCTGGGTAATTGTGGCCCTCGCCTAGAAAGCCTCGTCCGTTAATGCGTTCGGTTCACTGAATAATTTTCTCCGAAATCGCCTTTTTATGGAGAAAATTGCAAGGTTTGGAAGTTCACTCGATTACCTTCAATGAAAGGAAGGATATTTTATCCTGTTTATTTCTGCGTTATTTCGCTTCCTTTTTTCTGAAAGAGGACTTGTTTGAACTTGGCGTGTGCTTATTCAAGCTGAGTTGCATCAAATTGACTTTCTTTTGTGCGAATCGTGAAAGCCTTTTTTTGTCCTGATTTTCCGCAATTGAACGAATGATGTTAGTATTATTTGCTCAATTTTTTTATGAAACTTGGGTGAATTTGCACAGATTGAAGGACTTATTTGTTTCTGCACTTTGAAGCAGAGTAAACTATTTTAGTTGGGATCGAATTTTCGAAAATTATCCGTTAACTAGAAGAAGGCTCCAGTTCTCGACGCCGAAAACTATGAAATGCCTTCAGGTTAAAAATAGTTCATTTTAAAAAGATTTTCGTTGCTTGCATTTGCTCCTCGTTTGTGTTGTTTTTTTTTTTATCCCGAAAACATCTTGTCGGAAAAGCTTTTTCGAAAGAAAAGCATCCGAAATTGTTTTACAAAAATATAATGTTTTATAAATTCACCCAAGCATTGAATGTATTACTTCGTGAATTGACGTGAAAAGAAAAGCCTTGTTGTATTGATCACGTTTCAGTTTCCATCGTCCCAGAAAATTGTTCCTTCGATCGACGTTTACCTTGTGCATTTTTATCTGAAGCCGATCAATTCTCATTTACTGGAACGGTCTCTCTGTGAAACATGAAACATGTTGGCTTTGTTCACGAGGGTCCACCCGTGCTCGTTTCAGTTAACGTAATTGGTTTCGTTGCCCTGTTTGTGATGGGTGATCGTGTTTTACTCCTTCATAATCGATTAATTTCACGAGGCCTTCAACGTGTAACCATGGGGAATAATTTGCACGAAAACTTCATGTTCGGTGGATACGGTATTGCTGCGCATCTATTTTTTTTTTCTGTGCGTACTAATACTACCGTATTGAAGATTGAGTGAAAAACATGCAAAAATACAATAGAATTTTACAATTTTTGAGAAAGTACGGACGGAATGTTCTTGGCGCGATCTTTTTCTTCAGTACTTCACGTACTCATATTATTGAAAATATTTAAGGACCTTTCAGAATGTATCAATGAGGATTTTCCTGCCTATGTGAACATGAGAGGAGAAGGAGGGGACATCGAGATTATTTTTCACTGGCAGAAAAATTAACGCTTTTTTTGTTTTCGGATTTTTTGTCTATTTTATTGAAATCTTACCAGAGCCAGACGCGGACTCCATTTTTATTTACTGAAAACTGCAATGCAGTTAGGCCTCGTTAACTTGAATCTCCTTAATTTGAATACCTTCCTATGCCGATTTTTTTCGAGTCCCTGCCTGTTGCCCTTGGGAACAATGCCTTAAAAGCCTGCCAAACTCGAGGGATTTCCCCCTCAAAGCTCCATAATTAAAATTTTCTGGATTTTTTGGCTATTTTTATTTATTTTCTAAAGAGAAAAGCATGGAAAATGTAATTCCACACATTACTTGGACATATGAACCTTGCCTCCAAGTTCAGTATCCTTCCAACTCATTCAAGAATCAATGAAAGACCCAGAATATCACCAATTACTGTACACTACTAATTACCTGTAATTCTTCCTTTCCTCCAACAAAAATGCTTGTTTCCTCAACTCAAAACCTCGCTCAATCGAATTGTTCGCTGATCCCTTGAAATTTCATTTGATGTTATTTGACTGTATTTCAAAAATAAGGCACACAGAAATAAATTTTGACATGAATTGAACCTGAAATCAATTACTTTTCAAGTTTTGCCATTGGAAAAATTATCTTCAAATTGATCGAAAATTTCCCATGAGAATCAAGTCTGACACCCACCCAAACTTCTGAAAATTTTTGAAAATGTTATGCTCTGTGCCGCGCATCCTCCTTTTTTTTAGGGAGAAAAGTACGCCTGGTACTCGAGTAAATACTGCATTCCTCGAATTTATGACGAATTTCTCGCTACCTGATAATTTATTGAAACCCATTAGAACATATAACCCCTGATGCGTGGTTATATGCTTCCTGAGGGCATGTAATATTTTCATTTCCTGCTGTGTCATCATCCGTCCCGAGGTTCTTTCATTATTCACTCTCTTTCGTGCTCGGCGAATGTACGTTTGAAGGGGTAGGCAATTTATTTGGCAGTGTTTGTCTGGACGAGTGCGTCGGGCAAATCCTCTCGTCATATGTGCGAATATACCCGAAATTATCGATCTTGAGACCACTGCAGACGTGCGATGGGAATTTTCGCGGTGAATAATTCAGAGATTCCTTATTTGCGTGACATTTTTTCTGAGTATTCTCTGGATGAAGCAGGAAAGATGTGTCAGGGTTTATTTTCTTCGCAGAAAATGTGCGTACCGTAGTTTCTTGTCCTGCTATGAATAATTGTCTCGCATTGTGATGCCCCATTTTTCCGTTGTGTGAGGCATCATTTTCGAATTATGGTTGTTTGTCCGATTTCTTTTCCAAAGTTTGAATCGGCTGTCGCCACACGTATTATGCAATTTTATTTTCAAGATTTTAATTTTAATGTTTTGATCAGCAGAGTAGCGGTTGGATCGGGACTGTTCACCTGACTTCATGTGAAATCATGGAACGTCCGTCGAAGAAAGAAGGGTTTTGCTTCAAAATCTTCAATCCTCTGGATCAATCCATATGGGCAAGTCGTGGACCAGAGGGAGAAACTATGGGTGAGAAAAAAGCCTGTGTTTTAGGACTCGTTTTAGTCTTCTCTGGGTAATTCGTTACAAATGCCCCCGAAAATTCTGTTTCAATAACATTTCAACCTTGAAAATGTAAATAAAATTGGCGAATCATGCACCTTTGAATTAAAGTAATGTCTCACCAGCCTAAATCAATGCATAACTAGACGAGTGTAACGCGTAGCTAGCGTAATTCAAGACCGATTTATTCGAACCGGATTTGACGCATAATTAACCCAAATGAAAATCTAATTGATTCAGAAAATCCAACTGTATAACGTTGACATGACCTGAGTTATTCATATAACTTTGGGTTTTGGGTTAGTCCATTTCACATACGAATACATAAACATCTCGAGAATAGTTTAAACTCGAAAGAACCTTCTTGGAATTTCTGTTATGTAAATTTTTGCGCATGGTACGAGGAATTTTTGGACAAAATCAGAGGGAATTATGTAAGTCACATTATCTCAGACGTCAATCCAAAATGCTGTGAAGAATACATTATTTTTCAGTTCGTATTAATCCAGTATCCTCTTGTTATCTCCGAAATTTATTCCGATGTTGAAATTGGTGGGGAAACATGCAAACGGAATCTCTCGGGGTAATGAAAAATTTCACACTTGACGGAGCATTCGTCAACATGGAGCAATTTCTCTCGTGTTGTTGAATTTTCGCCATTTTTCAAGAAGCCTCTGTGAACTTCATTTTCATGTTCATAGTTTTTTCCCCCCTTGAATTTCCGGATGCGTGTGAAAATATGACGGCATTGAAAGCTTTCTTGCCTTCGAAGTGAATTTTTGTTGAGAAGCAACACATTTTAGAATTTACATGGTGAATTATTTCTTTAAAAAATTATTTAATTTTGAGTTTTAAAAAAGTAGTTTCAAGCTGCGCAGAAGAATCGCTGGAAATTGTACCTCTGTTGTGCCAAGAATGATCCCAGCGTGACTCGATCAGTTTTCGCAGTTTTTTTCTTGACATGACAAAATTCGACTGATGTTCTTGATCTGAACTTTAAAGAGCGTCCGTTTTGCAGTACTGTATTGTATTTTGAAATTTACTCTTTTCTTCATTAAAGAGACTTAATATGACTAGAAGTGCCTTCGTCCAGCTCTACAACTATTCTCACACTTGTTTTTTTTTTATCAAACCGCGTACGAGGGTCGTCCCACTTGCGTGCGACCTTAATTATTTTTAGAATAGGTAAGACTGTAAAAAATAAACCATAATACTGTACATTGTAGTTCATGATGTTGTAAGGTTTTGGGATTTTTCTCGGAGTTTTAGAACACTTTTGATTTACTGTATGATGATGAGTGAAAACTTTCTAGTTACGGCTAGAGTTCTCCACCCATGTCACTGGGTGCTAACATTTGTCAGGCTTGCTGAAATTTAAATTTCTGCGTTATTTTAACCATTGTCTTTTCTAAATTTTAGAGAATGGTTAAAAAAAACAAATTTCAATTTTCAGCTGGCCTGACACACTTTTAGATCCCTGTGAGACGGGTGGAGAACTCTGGCCGTAACTGGAAAGTTGACACTTCTCATCATGCAGTAACTTGAAATCTTTGTTTAATAAAAATAATGAAAAATTTCCAGAACCTTGCAACATCCTGGGTTATATCATTAATTTTTTTTACAGTGATAACTACTCCACAAATAATTAAGGCCGCGCCCAAGTGGGAAAACCTCCGAAATATTCTAAAAGAAACACGATGACGAGATATCCTTGGACAATTTACTATTCGCAGGAGCGGTTTGTCAGCCGTTGCCGACGTCGTACCTCATTTTCCGGTCGCCGTCGCAGGCGGACGGCAAGTGTTGGATGGACGCCTTGGAGTTGGCCTTGCGGTGTTCGTCACTGTTGAAACGAAGCATGAGCTCTCAGCCGCAAACCGGGTCGGGCAGAGCCGCCGCCGGGGACGACAAACTACTACTACTGACTCCTGGAGCCTTGTCTTTGCACGGTTCTTCGTCGAATGGACACGAGTCGAGCGACACGGACGCCTGTTTTGCCGGCGGGGATCGCGTTGGACTTCCGCCGCCGCTGCTGTCGTCGACCCAGGCGGCCGAGGTCATTGCCAAGCTCGATCCGGAGCAGTTGGAGGCGCTGATGAAAGAGAATGAAATGGCCAAGCGGTTTCTTGAAGCAGGTGCGCCGTTTGACTTGTTCCATCATCCTTCCATTTTTTCGGCTGGTTTTGATTGAAATTGTAAAACTTCGTGTGTTGGCGGTGAATGATGAAGATTGGGTTCCTTCGTCCGGATAATCGAATACTTGGCTGATCAAGAATGTTCTTTGAAAGTTGAAAAAAATAGAAGGATGACCGTGGATAATACAAAGGGTTCTTTTTCATTATGAAATCCATTAACAAGCGTCAAGTTTGAAAAGAACTACATGTTGAGCATTCAGATTGGGAGGAATTGAATGTACAGTAATTTAATTTCGAAAAGGCATCGTAAGGCAGTTCATGGATTAAAGGGCGAACGAATAACTTTCGAAAATGTACCGACATAAAAGAGGAAAAATACTACGCGGGTTGGAAATGCCGTAATCTAACATTTAAAATTCTTGTAGACTACTGGCGAAAAGGACCGTTGTGAAATTTACAGTCGAACCTTGATAACTCCAATGTCGTTTTCGATTTCGTATGTCTATTTTTTTTTTTCAAAGCCCAGAATATCTGAATTCCTTGAGCATTGCATTGAAAAGCTCCGTAACTTGCAGGTTTTCCCTCTCAAACCTCCACAACTCGAATTTTATGGACGTCTTTTGGGTATTATTTTATTGACACAAGAAAGAGAAAAACAAAAACAAAAAACGTAACGATATTTTAAAAGGAAGTGAAAGACTAATTGGGCAAATAAACTCTAGCCTCGAAGTTCAGCATTTTGTGAACTCATATACGAAGCAATTTGAGGCCCAGAGTATTACCGAACAACGATTATTCTTCGCTAAAAATGCTTGTTACCCCCACTCGAAATCTCCCTGACTCGTATTTTTTACTGTTCCCTTGAAATTCGACTTGTCTATCGGGAGTAACGATGTGATTTAAGGAACATGATTTGACGCTCCCGTGATAACCTTCCAGTGATTCACCATATTCTATTCCGTTGCAGAGAGTCACACGGAAGAGGAAGAGTACGATGGTGAGGATGAGTTTGCGGAGGATACCGATGATGACGACCGGTTGTTGGTGGAGGACACGCATAGTGATTCCGACAGTGACAGTGCGAATCCGCAGGACAGCCGTTCATCGGCGGACGCTTCTGATCATCCGCCTCCCGAGTCTGACCATTACGTCGTCCGGGAAGTCGAAGAAGGAGAATTCGGACCGGTAATTACATCGAGAATGATACTTCAGATTTTATTCCTAATGAGCGATTCGTTGAGCATGATGCTTCTTCGAGCGGAAATCGCGAAAGCTTTTTTTTTTATGGCGTTGAAGAAGCTCGATAAAATGAAATCATCTCTGTTGAAAAACTTATGGTTATTTATCTGTGGTTTGGTCTGATGAAATATCGCCATGACTAAAGACGACGATGTTGTGCAACCTATCGATTTTCGGCACATACAAGTATTTGTTTTAGATGTTGCATCGAGCTAAAATCGGGAATCCCTTCATAATCCAAGATGATCTTTCGAAAAGCGGGATGAAATGAAATTGTTCCAAGAAGTTCTGATCCTCTAACGTGCTAATATCTTCCCATTTTTCTTTTGAAATGACTTCGTGCGTCAATGGTATCAAGTTATCTTGCGTTTTCTTCTGAGAAAATGCAATTCGTGTCTTAGGTGGAATGTTCTGGCAGTTTTCAAGGAAGCGCTTCTGTCATTGTCTCGTCGAAGTTGTGCTGACTCATCATGTAGCGAGACGCTTTTGTCTCGAGAAAGGCAGTACTAAGATACCGTATCTTTCTTGATCATCAAAAGGTTGATAATTTAGACTTTTTAATACCGTAGAAAATGCGGAGAAATATTTCGGCTAGAGATCGGGTGCTTTTCATTCCTTCTGTTGTTTATACGGTATTGTACTCGCGTGCAAAAAATGTTCAGTGCCGTGTTCGACATTTGGGCATGGCAAAACTGGAGGTGTAGGTTGAGATGAATAGCTTAGTTTTTTTACTGATAGGCATCTTTCGACTGTTCTTTTGTTCCGCTTCAGAAATAGCAGATCTCGCATTCCTTTCTCATAAAAAAAAACACAGGTTGATTAATCAGCGACGGATCCCTGAATTTGAACAAATTCTCTCCATTCAGTTCAACGCTTGCTTGAATTGCGGATTATGTATGTGATGAACTTTTCCCATCAATCTGCTGTAGACTGGCGGGCAAACTGAAGAATTGGCAGAGGAGAATCGGTCATTGCTGTGGTTCCTGCTGAAGCAAGTTCGACCTGGGATGGACTTATCGAAAGTAGTTTTGCCGACTTTCATATTGGAGCCTCGCTCATTTCTGGACAAGCTTTCCGATTATTACTATCACGCAGATATGCTCGCACAGTGAGTACATTTCGTTTTTTTTTCATGAACCATGAAATCCTCGAATCAACTAGTCTAGTGCGTTTTTCGCGGAATCCTCGATTTTGTTGTTGTAAGCAGACGTCTTGCAATTGAATTGTCGTTTTTTTCCCTCCTCAGAGTCGTGAAGGAAGATGACCCATTCTTGCGGATGAAGTACATGGCTAGATACTATTTGAGTGGGTTTTACAAGAAACCCAAGGGTCTGAAAAAGCCGTATAACCCGATCCTGGGTGAGACGTTTCGTTGCGCGTGGCACCATCCGAACGGGTCTCGAACTTTCTACGTTGCGGAACAAGTTTCGCATCACCCTCCGGTGTCCGCGATTTACGTCACGAATCGGGTTGACGGTTTCGCAGTCTGCACCACTGTGCTCGCAAAATCCAAGTTTTATGGTGAGTTATTCTGCCAAGTGGTATTTAGCTGAGAGGTTTTTAAGCTTTTGCTTTTCCAGAGAATCCGCGGCCTCTTAAATAAGAATAGATGAAAATTGTACCATATCCTTTTCTTTTTTTTTTAAGAATTTGGGCTCGCGAAGAATAGTCATGGATTCTCGTGTACCATACCTCAAGGTAAAAACCGTCAAGGTTGGAAATTTCAATATTCGAAGTAAATTGAATTGTGTTTAGCGCAATCAAAAGGCCGACTTGGTGAAATCGGCTAATCTTTTTCTAAGCCGAGCTCTTGAAAGATTTTCTTTCCTCATTTGGTTTTATATTTCGCAGTTGCCTTTTAATTATTCTTGAGTTTTCTTCTAAGGCCTCTTCATTGAATCGAGTTTCGCTCCGTTTTTGTCCTCTTCTACGTTCACGTGCATAGTCAAACTTCTGTGAAAGGTCTGTTCCTGAATTCTGCGAAGACAGTTGTGTGTCTTGAGGAAAATGTGCCAAAAGTTGGGTGACGGGTTTTTCAATAAAGTTTAGAGACGCTGTCGAAGTGATGATGGCGTGGGTCGTAGAAACTTTTCTCGGACAGATTATTTTATTTTGCTCTCGTGAAGAAGAAAATTGTTCGAGACAAGGAATTTTATGTTACCCATTTTTTCAACCTAACAGGGAATTCCACCAGCGCAGTGCTGGAAGGATGTGCACGATTGACTTTGCTGCCTCGTCGGGAGGAATACGTCATCACAATGCCGTATGCTCATTGCAAGGGGATTCTCATGGGAACACTGAGCATGGAACTTGGAGGGAAAGTGACGATCAATTGTGAAACCACTGGCTACAGCACGGAACTTGAATTCAAGTTGAAGGTGAGGTTCATCCGTCTCCTTTTTTTCTGAAGAAAAATGATGATAATCAGTTGCGGAGATCATTTATTCTTTTATGATTTCAGCCATTTCTGGGAGGAAATGATTCAGTGAACATCGTTTCTGGGAAAATCAGGATCGGCAAGGACACTGTCGCTACGATTGATGGTCACTGGGATGGTCCGATGCACTTCGTGGATAAGCGTTCCCAGGTTTTTTGCTCAGTGACTTTTCGTGTTTGTTTCTGTCTATTTGACATCGACTTTAATTTTTTTTACAGGTAAAAGAGCTTTTGTGGAGCCCAACGCCGGAAATCATAGATAAGAGACTGAAAAGGATGACAGTCCCGATGGAGAAACAGGGTCCTTGGGAGTCGGAAAAACTGTGGCAGTTCGTGACTGCCAGTATTCGAAACGGAGATCAGGTGAATATTGATGCATGAAGATCCTGTTATAATTTTTAAATATGACAGAATCCAGCTTCGTGAACACGGAGATTTACCGCAGGTCTGAGTTTTCGAAAATTTTTAGATATGGAGATCAAGGTGGACTCTCTCTATAACAAAAATCAATGGACCAGAAGAAAAAAAAATCCGTTATAGGAAAAATTTCATTATTGAGAATCTTGCAACATGTAGAGATAGGCCTATGGAAACACAAAAATTATTTCTACTGAGAAAATCGTTGTAGAGAGAGTCCACCTGTATACGGCTTATCCAAAAATATCCCCAGTTCAAAATAACCAAAATTCAATATACAGTGAGAGAAAGAATCTAAATTTAAAAATTGATATAACGCATGAGAGATTGGCGCGATTGATTCCGCAAGAATTTCAGTGACGTGTAATTTAGGATTTGAATCTGAAACTAGGTAACTTTGTCGCAGAAGAAAGTTAATAACGAAGTTCAGGTGAATCTAAATTTCTCGCGAGTGAAATCTGCCATAAAAGAAAAAAACGAGGAGTATACCATTTTTTTAATGGAAAAATGAATGAAAACTGCATTATTTTCAGTGAAACACGTTAGTTGATTCCTCTTTTTCTTGTAACGCAGGTGGCAGCTACGGAAGAGAAGACGAAGTTGGAGGATTTACAGCGAAAAATGGCGAAGGAGCGGAAAGAGAAAGGGGATGACTGGAAGCCGAAATATTTCGAGCGAGGCCTTAATGACGGCGAGTGGGTGTATAAGTACGCGGACATGCGACCGTGGGATACGAACAACGACCTCTTCCAATACGAGAACGACTTTATCGTGATGACGCACTCGAAGCATCGAGCACCGCTTGTCAAGATGGCCTCGATGTCCATGCAACAGCTTGATGGGGTGAGTGTGGATCGTTTCTTTCTTCAACGAGGTGGTTTTTTCTCCCCGAGAAAACTTCTGGTCACTTTTTTTTTCTTCCTTTTACTGCGTATCATGTTTCCCTAGAAAATGTGATAAGTTCTGTAGGGCACAGGCCCACAAAGAATGAATATTTAAGTAATGAATAAATGAGAACAAACAATCCACCCGGGAACAGAACAGTGGATTCTCAGTAGAATCCGAAAAGACAAGAACAAAATGTATTTCACATGAAGGTAAAGTATCAATCACAAAATATTCCAATACCTCAACAGACAGAAAATCTTTAGACATCTTACTGCAATGAACGTATCTGAGAGACTGTCTGTTGAAGTACTGTATTGGAATATTTTGTGATTGATTCATGTGAAATACATTTTGTTCTTGTCTTTAAGGATTCTACTGAGAATCCCCTACCTACTGAGGGAGTTGGTGGTGCAACGGGAAATTCCACGCTGGAATTCCCCGATTGCACCACCAACTCCCCTCCTCCATTTTCGAGCCTAATAATCCCACACAGTCTCGTTGTGTGCAGCGTTTGGTGCTGTTGGTTTTCTGTGAAAAGTGTTCCATTATTTCGTCTGTCATAAGAAATACATTTATATCTCTTGTCTTTTGGAGTCCTTACCGAAGGGCTCCCTGCCGTGTTCCCCGGCGGATCAAGTGTTTCATTTATGTCAATTTATATACTTTTGCCTTATTTCCTTTGTGGCCTGTGCGCCACACGTTCAATAAATGGTGTGCAGTTTGGCATCAAAAATATATTGAATGTGAAATACTGTAGTATGCTTACAATAGAAAAACATCTTTATTTGGTATTTTCCTGGTTTCATCTGCCTAGCGACTCAGTTCAACCTAATTTTGTTGGGGAATACGCTGGTCATCAAGTCTTCCACCAATAAATTACCTTTTGCCCAATTTGGTCTACTTAAGTGTTTGCTTGTGGTCACCAAACTATCCACATGTATCTGAATTGATAAAAAGTGATAGAACACCTTACCTGTTTCTGCAAGACTTGTCATTGCTTTATTGCATCGTTGGAAATAAGAAATGACACTTCTTCAGGAAGATGAGTGCATCGATTTTGTATTTCCCAGCGATGAAGACAAAAGAAATCTTCTCTACGTACCTCGTGATGGATAGGAGACATTGTATGAGCGAACAATATTGAATTTTTGCTGAATTTCAATTTTTAACCTGCTTGAATATTTTTTAATTCCGAGGTTTTAAAATCCGATGGAATTCCGTATCGTTTTCCGGAAGAAACGATTGGTCTGTGATTTTTCTTCATGCGGCGTTTAAGCCATTGGAGCTATTAACCAGTTCTTTCTTTCCAGCTAGTCTGAAGGAGCGCTTGAGACCTCTCGTAATCAGAAGAAAAGACTTAGGAAAGCAGTCGCAAAAGATTGATCTTGATTTCGTATAATACAGTACTGGTATTGATTGAAGAGATACTTGCGATTGCATGAAAGAAATCATTGCTTAGCTTACATTGCGTTTTTAAATTAACAAGTTCTAAGGCGAATCAAGCGTTGATGTCGAAATGATTGCTTTGTTTCTAATCCGAAATTTGTAGTCTTCGATTTTTCTCAGTGATGCTGGATGGATGTTCAGTTTTTTCTTTTTTCATTCAATATTATTTCAAGCTATTAATGCCCCTTTGATATGTACATTTTAAGTTGCATGATGAGGGAGAAAGTTGAACCTGAAATAGCGGTCGAATTTTTTTACAGGGCGAAGGTGCTGTCGGGAAAGCAACACGAAGGCAGAACCAGAAGCAAAGACTGGAAGCCGCTGCAAGAAACAAAGGACGATCCGAAATTAGTCAAACAGAAGTCGCTGCAGAAAAAACGAAAAGGGGTCTTGAAAAGAGTCCAATTTCCGACTTCACCCCAAGGTACTATCAGGGCTATACACTTCGAAGTGTGTCCAAAAAGTTGCAGGATTATACAACATTTATAACCCACAAATTTTCAAAGTGCGTCCAATGCGGTGTTGATTGGTTTCATTGTGACTGTAGATATCACTTGCATTCGAACGCTTTACCAAATCTTGTCAAGTGATTTTGTTCCATCGAATTTCGTGTTCCTCCGGTATACGCCGAGGATTGGGTTTTCAGTATAATTTTTGGAGGTATTCGAACCATTTCCATCCCTCAAGTACAGTTGAACCTACGTAATTCGAACCTCTCGATGTCGAATTTTTTCATATCCGTGTCTGAATTCCATAGAGGAAAACGAAAAGCAATAAAATTTTACCTTGAATTGATTGATTTAAATCCTTCACTTTCTGATTAACCCGGTTACATGGGAGCAGAGGTTATTGAAGTCGTAGGACACACCCTTGAGTAACTAAAACGACAAATTACGGATTTTTAGTCCGTAAAATGAAAAGACATTAAGACAATATTTATTTCCAGCAAAAAAATAGCTGGTCCCCTATACTGTAACTGGAAATCTCACTAACTCGAATTTTTCTCCCTGGTCCCTTGAAGTTTGATTTGAAAAGGTTCAATTGTATTCATTTTTCAATCTTTTCGAGCGATTAATTCCCAGTTTTGGAGCATTTCTCTTATAAGTTTCATCAAAGATTTTGAACCGCAGGAAATTTTTCACTTTGCCCCTAGTCTGTAACTTTTTGAACCGAATGTGACGGGATAGAGATTAATGCAAGGCTTCTTGTTTATTTCTGTAAATTAACCGTGTCCAATTAGTAAGACGCTCTGTTTTCCTCTTCGATAATAGGCGAAGCTTGAAAGTGACGGACCTCGTCCAGCCCGGCGACAAAACCTTGGTTCAAGAAATCGGGAGACTTTCGGTGCAGGTGTTGCGACTCGAAGAGAAGGTGGATGAATTGCGAGAACAGCATCATACAACTTTCTGGCGTCATGCCGTCTTATTTCTCGTCTTCGCCGTTTTTCAAGCCATCGTTATGAAATGGTTTCTCAGAAAAGTTAACTCTGATCGTAGCTCATGAACGCTGCTTTTTTTTTCGATCCCGTATTAGCGATTTGATTTTGAACGACAGCTGAAAAGCTTGAAAGCTTTTTGTGCTCTTAAGCGACTTGGCAGCCATGAAAGAGTCTCACGGTCGACGTTTCCTCAATGCGACCGAGAACATTTTAAGTTTTTATTTTAGTTGGTGTTTTGTTTTTTCTCTTTCACCACGTCTATAGAAATCTCTTTGATGGAGGATCCATAGATCAGAAATGATTCGATGAACTCTTAACGAAACTCACGGTTTTTTTGCGATGCTGTGTGCTTACAATTAAAATATTTGGTTGTTGATGGCTTATTTTGAGAGGAAAGAGTGTCTGAGGGTTTTATCGGTACCAATCGAGAAGATCTGAACGTCGGGAAAGGTTTGATTGAAACCAGTTTGAAAGTTATTCGAGGCGATGGCGTTGTCCATCGTTGCAAAAAAAAAATTTCGTTTGGCAAAGAAAGTGTTTATCGACTGTGATAGGATGCAAACAGACATTACCATGTGAGACGAAATTTTGATGAAATCGAAGGATTTTCTAGCGGTGCTGGGCCTCGGAAGCTTGGTCCGGTGAGCGCAAGGCATATGAGTAGAAAAAAGGGTTTTTTGTTTCTGAAAGGCTTTCCGACTTTTTGCTTTATCCAGTAATACCTTTTGACTTTCCCAGTGATTTTTTTCGTCCGTATTGAAATTGCCGTATTTATTAAAATACAAGACGCTTTTTATTCTCTCTTGCGACACGAATAAGATCGGGGTGTGCTGAGAGTGGAATGGAAAATTCCAGTGTGTGAGATGCTTTTAAAAGGAATTTGTTTAAACGATGGAAAGCTCAATGAATATATTCCGAACACCTTGCAAGTTTAACGCGGGATCTGATCTAATGTAGTAAATGATAATTACAGCTGATTAATGTCATTTTTAAGTTCTTGAATTTGTTGGTCCCCGTGTGAAATAATTTTTCATTGACTTCGCATTTTCCTGTTGATTCTTCTCAGTTCTAAGGCTATGACATCAAGGTGCGTCTTGTCTTAGCGTAATATACGGCTTTTTATTCTTTTTTGCCGGAATATTTCAAGGATCTCGAAAATCCGCGATTCTCCAATGTAGGAATGATCTGCGATGCGTTTTCCACAGAGTTGTGTTTTTCGCATGATGGAAGCTGCAAAGATCCTTTTTTTTTCCGTAGTATGAACTCAACTTTATATTTGTTTTTTCGTTGGAAACCGGAAGCCCCCTAGATTTAAAAAAATTACTGTTGTCGGATACGAACCCTGGATGGCCAACGAGTCTTCTGCTGATCGCTGTGATGGCTGAGGGACTCTTATGAGAGAACTAGGTAGCTGGTATAACAAAAAAGACTTTTCTGTTTTTAATCTCCTGGAACTGCTGTTAAATCATTGTTATGCACTCTGAGGGACTTTGAACTAGTCCGCGTGCAGCGTTTGTGTTTCGTGGCTATGATTTGTATCGGCGAAGCTTCATGGTGATCTTCAGTTGTCATTTAGTTCGGATAAAAACGAAAAGATTTGGAAACTTTAATGCATTATGATTTATGAACAGTCAGTGTGCTTTGAGGTTGTTTTTTTTCTCTCGTATGATAGCAAATTAAAATGAGGGAACTCGTCGGGAAGAAAAAATTGGAGGGATTTTATCCGTGATTTTTTTCGTCTAGCTTCATGATTCTCTGTCCATCTCGCTTCGAACGTTCATCTTCTCGCTCTTTTTTTTTCTTCGTACCTCTGGCGAAATGCAAGCACTTCACTGCTTGTTGTGGATTCCATCTTGGTGTTTTTTTTTTTCGTGCCAGGCCAGTCATGGAAATTCTGCACAAAAATATGTATGCATCACAACTGCGATATTGGAAGCACAAAACCTAGTCCCCAATCTCTTTATGCAGTTTCTGCATTTTCAGATATTTTTTGCGTGAGAATTTTTGAGCTGGTTCACAATTTCCTCAGAAATAATCCGGGGTCTTCCACAGTCCAAACCTTGAAGAGTCTAAGGAATAGCAAGGGTGACCCCAAATAAATTCAAATTCGGGAGTTTTTGAGAGGGAATCTTTCTTCGCAGAAGAAAATAAAAAATTTCAGGAAAGTAATACTGTATACTGTATACGTGATAATAAATTCAAATTCGGGAGTTTTGAACTGATCTAGATAAATGAATTGACGGGATGCAGAACTTATTGGGAGCAAAGGCACATTTACTTGATCACTCCTTAATCTTCGTTGAAAAGCATCAAGTTAAATTTTTATTACTTTTTTCCTTCTGAGGTCCTCAGAATAATTACAGTCCAAAATCCTTTTCAAAATAAAATCACAGATGTTTAAGGAGAAAGCATATGAGAGGAAGGTTTTATATATATTTTCTAATTTATCTTAAAGTATAGAGCATACTGTGTAAAAATTTGTGATAGGGAGGTCTGACTTAGCTATGTCCATCTGTATTAATCATATGGAGGAGAATTTCCTGGTTGAGAATCTTGCTGAGTTAAATTTCCCAAGCATTTTCTGTAATACTGCTGTATAAAACACAGTTTAAGTATGATACTGTACTGCACACCTTTTCTAGAAAACCTGGAAACTTTTGCAAATCAAGGATAGTGTATGAATTTGACAAGGGATATCTTCAGAAGAAAAATAATTTGCCTGACAAGGGATATCAGGCGAATTTGTGCAGGTGGAGAACATCATGATTGAATGAAGTTCATATTATGAAATGAAGTTTATTATACTGGACGTTTGTTACAAGGAACTTCAACTGTTTTAGCATGTCAAGACACACGATTTAGTAGTCCGGCATATAAGCGACCACATGTCGTCATTGTATTTTACTCCCTAAACATGATATTTCAAGTTTCTTGAAATGTATATGAATACAAATATCAGCAGTAAAATTCAGATAGGAACAATGCGTTACTATAAAAGAAGTCGTGAAGGTACAGCTGCTATAAAAAAGGACAGTGGACGTCTGGCTCAGTTTTTATTTACCTAGCAAAAATGTTATAAAAGATTCATGATTAATCAATCCTCAATTCGGTTTTAGAGAGATTCTGCAAACTTTATGGATTTTCAAATAAGTCCCACTTTTTTTGTTTCCACAAGAATATTATCATTATATCATGCTCATTGAAAATTCAAAAATAAAGAATTTCAATATTTTGTTGGTTTTCATTTTCCAAAACTTTCTTTTTATTTCGTACAAATTTATCGAGAGTACAGGAATAGACAATTTTCAATGATAACATGAAGTTATGATAATTATCCACGAAATATTGATTTAACCTTTATATTTTTCAAAAAATGTATGATGAACACGCGNTGCTCATTGAAAATTCAAAAATAAAGAATTTCAATATTTTGTTGGTTTTCATTTTCCAAAACTTTCTTTTTATTTCGTACAAATTTATCGAGAGTACAGGAATAGACAATTTTCAATGATAACATGAAGTTATGATAATTATCCACGAAATATTGATTTAACCTTTATATTTTTCAAAAAATGTATGATGAACACGCGCGAATCACCTTCAATCTGATTCAGTACGATAATTTCATCAACAACTGATCAATGTTTTTATCATACATATTACATGTACAAATATAGTTCTTACAATGCAGCTGGATTTATGAGTATTGTCCAACAGGAAACGCATATAGATTAAGTGAACGTCAGCGATAAACATGATTAACTGCACACATCGATACATTCTCAAAGCTCATCTTATTTTAGCAGGTAACCAAGATTTTTTTGGAAATTTCACTGCTGCTATAGGCTTTTTTAATTTTCATTTTTAAGCAAAAAAGTTATACCTGTAGATAGGATATCATGACCATGATACATAAAAAATACAAGATTTTGAGAATTTTTATACTGGAATGCTTTGCTTTATATACATTTTTGATCACATTAAATTTTTAGATGTCGTCCGTCGACTGAACTGTCTGAGAATTGCCATGGGTTGCTTTATTTTTTTATGGGTCACACTGCTGCAACCTTTTTGGGCCCAAAGACCAGCAAATTTCCATAAAAGTTTTTGCGGACCGGCAAATAAAAAGAAATTGTTCTGTGGACCCGCAAATTTCTGTAAAATTTTTGCGCACTCCAAAATGTTCTGTCTGAAATATGGCAGGTAGTGAGAAAGTTTTTGCTTATTTGCAAAAAAAAAATGAAGCTGAGAACCAATCAAGCAGGTATAGTGGAATATCTTCAAAAATTTAGAAAGATGGGCTTGAACAAAACTTTCCCAGAATTCAAAATTAATATAATTTACTTCATCAGGTGAAAATTTGTCGGAAGTGATATTTGGAGAAAAGCCAACTTTTATTTTGCATGAGATAATTTTAACTGCCATTGTCTGGCAAAATTTGCAGATTGAGATAGTGTAACATCCTTCATTGATAGTTTTGACAAAGTTATGATGCTTGAGAAAATTTCCCGTGGACCAGCAAAAAAATCCCGCGGACCCCGGGTTGGGTCCGCGACTTCTCTAGACGAGTCTCGTCTGACGGTGACAGATTAGTCTAGTATTTTCATTAAATTCAGTGACCGATTACTGGTATATAGTGATGATGATGATAAAGAGGCCGAAGTTGACAGCGCTCTTTCGGGCTTTGCGGAAATCACCTTGAGTGGAATCTGTGTATATACAGTAGTATATACGCTTGCTAGCATCATATGCAGATACTCATCGCCCTGGAACGACATTGATGACGCCTGGCTGATGCTCACGGACGTCGCTTCCTTATCGCGTGCAAATGCATCACTGAACAAGACATGTTCATATAGTATGTGATGCTGCATTTTTTCAGGTTTTCAGTGGGTGACCAAGTGCTCATGCAGTGAATGCAAAGACAATGAGCATTCATGGCCTCCACGGAAAAGTCGTTTTCTCCTCCAGCGTCGCTTCCCAGCCATCAGTTCTTCTCAGCTTTTCAACTGGTGCCAATCACTTCCTCTTTATTCAATTTCCAGCAGGAGAGTGCAGCTCATAGGAGAGTATTTTTAAAATGCGTGTTTATATATTTTAGAGTTCCGCTTACATTTTGCTGAATACGCGTATATACAGTGAGACACCCACTTGCGGGCACCTCGACATGGGGAAAATTCGAGTTATAGGGACATTTATTTTTCAGTGAAAAGTCATAAAAAAGGCCCAACATAGGGACACTGACTCAACATGAGGACATTGCATGATAAAATTGCCAAGAAATTTTAGGAAACTTGACTTTAATTAGGCTTAATTGCAAGAACAATTCTTTGGTACTTTTCCCATCACTTTCCCATTCAGCTAACTTTAAAAAATTACATTTTGCACAGTGGGACTTCCTTCTCTTTTTGTGACTTGGATGTCATTTTTACAGATGCCAACATTTGAATGAATTGTACAGTGGTATACCGTATTTACTGGAGTACCAAGTGCACCTTTTTTCCCAAATTTCAGAAGAAAAAAGGGGTGGGCATCATAAGCGGGTACACAATTTTCAAGAAGTTTTAGGAAGTTATGTTTGCATTATACTTAATTATAATGGAAAAATTTGGAACAAATATAACAAGAAAACATTTTTGTATTGAAAAACTTGAAAATTCATCAGATCTTTGTTCAATTCACGCCAAAAGTCAAATTTTTTGTTTTTATTTCTGAAATTTTATGGTTTTAGATTCACTAAAAATTGGGGTGCGCGTCTTACTCAGGGATAAGATTTTTGCAAAATTTTCAACTGAAAAACCCCTGTGCGTGCCTTTTCTCAAGGGTGCATGGTACTTGAGTAAATACGGTACTATTTAATATTCCAAATGTTCTTACTGAGTTGAAAAGATATTTACTGAATCAAATTCAAGTGGCAAGCAATTTTTTTCATGGAATTCTGATATCAAATTCAAGTGGCAAGCAATTTTTTTCATGTAATTCTGAAGAATATTTCTTCCATAAAACACCAATTAAAAATTATACAATGATGTAAGTCTATGGGGAAAACAAGACTCAACTTAGGGCCACTCTTGATGCACCAATTATGACCGCATCTGGGGGTGTCTCACTGTAATTTGTTGTGCAAACACCTCGTCGTCAGCAGCAGAGAATTTTCAACCTATGTCTGTCGATTCATCGATTATTATAGATGTGCGGCGATATCGGTACGAGTGCTGTGTGATGGTGACAATAACTAGAGCATCAATGGAAGGCGTCGTGGGTTTCGGTGTGGGAAACATCATGCGCCGAAAGCCGTTTTTCAGCAGCTGGAGCGAAAAGAGGAGTCCAGCAGTGCTGCAGCTGGTTCTCCTGCTGACAGTTTTTGCAGCAGCAGTGCAGTCCTGCAAAGCTTCTGCCATCAGCAGCAGCATCACGGATACTGAAGATCGAGAGACTACGAGAAAAGCAGGTGAGATGTGCGATTATATCTTGATGTCGGACGTACCGTATATTCATTACTCGAGTACCCCGCGCACATTTTTGTTTTTTTTTTTGCAAGAAACAGGGACATAAAATGGGGGCGTTATATACAGTGGGGTACAGATTTCCAAGCGACATTTTTTTCCATTTTTGAAATTTGTTCCCTACGTTAACATTTTTTCAGAGTTCTCTTCTTGAATAATTCTGTAATTTGCATGTGACGAAAACATAATCAATTAAGTAAACTGCTTACACGTGGGCTTGTGTTTGGTTTTTCATCCCCATGTAGTGTAGGAAAAATTATTTTGGTGACTGAAAACTCTCGTGAGTTTTTTATGCGGGGATGGGATTTTTATCCAAAATTATAGCTTGAAAAAAATAAAAAGTTG